GCCCAGAGCTGATCGAGGGCAGTAAGCCTCACGAGCAACCTCCGCCTAGACGCACAGCTCCACTCAGGACTCTTTAACGTGACTCGTATTTGGTAGCTGGACTGGCAGCCATACGACTCACGTGCCGGCCTCCATGGTCTCGGGCGCCGATTCATGCTCATTCGTCATGGCAGTCAGAAGAGTTCTTAATCTAGCAAATAAATCAAAAGTGTCATGTAGACACTTATGACTCTTGAGTCCACCTCTTCCGACTGCTCAGGGCAAGTTATCAGCCGCACACGAGGCTCGTCCGGAAGCGCCTTTGCTAGAAAGGTTGATGTGTGGCTATTTCACAGCGACCACGCACAGTAGACTAGGCGAAGTGAGGTGTGTGGTGACCGACATTGGCGTGGATGCAGGGCTGTGACCAGCGCCAAGTACAGTGGCGGACCTGCTTGCACCACTCCCGCTCGAGAGCAAAGCCAGCTTCTTGGCGTCTCAAAATAGGAACTTCCCTCACGTACAGTAGGCGGAAGATCGAGGAAAGTCTGCTCAAGTTGCTTCCGCACATTGGCCAAGGGAAGCTGTGACTCGATGCAGTCTGAAGCATCCCGGTATAGCTCAGCCGAGGCATGACTATTAGGCGAACCTCGTCGTGTTCGGAAGCACTGTCGGAGTCTTATACGCCAAGATGCGGCAGCAGGGTCTGGCTATGGATGGCTGTGGATGCCCTCGCCCCTCGGTACCAAGGCGAGGATGAAACGGAAGAGCGCGCGAGCAAGCTGCAGCCCGTTGGCCATCGTTACAAGGCTGACAGCGACGTCGCGCGCCGCTAGCCAAGGGTTAGGGAGGCATCTGGCCACCGATTGATCGGAATCATGGTCCAGCCTGCCGTTCGAGGAGGAGCGTCACGCTCTTGTCCAGTGCCGGACAACGAGCATGCTCGAAGGCTTCTTTCGCAGGGGCCAGCTTTCGAGAGAGACTGAAGACGCCCTGGCTATGACTTTCAAGCTCTTCGATTGTTCTCTTTGCTGCTCGACTCAAGGTGCGATCTGTAGCGCGGAGCAACCTGCCGAGCCGTTGGAAACGGGGATGAATCAGGGCTGTTCAGCGTAGAGGGACTGCAGCGTCACCTGCTTGATATAGTCGAATAGATCAATGTTGAAAGAGCAGCAGGATCTGCGTGGTCGACATTGGCAGCATTGGACTGAGTCCAGGGCCAGCGAACGTGTAGCCAGAAAGCACAGGCGTACATCGGCTGCTCAGGACGAAGGGATCATTGGCATTGCAGTTGCTTCATCGTCTCGTTGTAAAAATCGACACGCCTCTTGCTCTGACGGACTCGGCACTCTGCAGCGCATCATGCGGCGCTCTCCCACTGGTGGTGCTGAAAGTTAGCGAGACGATAAAGTATGAGAAAACACCTTTTCTGCTTTCCAGCCTGCATACCAAGGCCAGCGATCGAAACGCTTTGTTCAGCTTCAGATGGCACCTACAGAAGTGGACCCCCTTGTGGGGCTTCGCGAGACGGTCTCTTGCGACCAAGGGACGAGGATGCGTGCGCAGCGTAGAGCTTCTCGAGATTGAAGGTGCGGCGCGAGCTGCCTAACTCTCGTCCCGCACTGAAGGGATGCCACGAAGTCTCCTATCCTTCGTCCTAGTCAACTCATCGGCAGTGCCTTAATACTGATCGCGCCATCGACTCGACACTTCTTGCAAGCTTCTGAGCACCTGACGGACCGTCAGATTGTGGCTGTCGTGACGAGAGTGACTGCTGGCAAGAAAGCACGACTGCGCGGCTTGAGACGTCGACTGTGGGCGAAACGTGCTCACATACCGTGCTTGATGCATTTGTAGGCTCAGGACCGTATCAGGGAAGCTTCGAAGTATAGA